TAAGTAAAAGTCAGTTATAAAATAGAGATGCCACCAAAAAATCTGTTCATTAGACATAAAGAGCTTTTTCAGCTAAAAATGGCAACAGATTGCAAATCTTTACAAGTTAGTATTATAATGCAAGAAGCTTTAGAAAACAGTTTGTTCTTCTTTACTAGTTAAAAAATTGTGGCTTCTCAGAGGACCATGACTCCCAGTTCCAGGTTAAAATGTTTTCTTATTAAACAGATAGAATCAGACGGCAGAGCTTCTACAGATCTAGAAATGTTGTTTCTAGGATCATTATATTAGTAAAGAGATTCATAAATCTTTTTAAACAGAGAGAAGCAGGGAGAGCTGCAGATTTAAAGGAGAAACAGATTTACTGGGATATGCAACATGGAATAAAATATATCTCCAAGTTTATCAGAAAGTTTACAAAAAAAAAAAATCTGCTATGCTATATTTAAAATGAAGCATATCCATATTTTTCTGGATGGAATTGAAACTTCTAGGGATGCATTATTTACTGATTTTGGCATCAGAATCGCCTGTTATTAGTTATTTTTTAATTCAGTATATATTTTTTAATCAATTGGAAAGAATTCAATAAATTGATGTTTGAGTTAATTTTTGGAAAATACAAAAACCTAATGTAAGCATTCGGGTGGATTAGGTCCATCAGCCTCCACCCTTAGAGCGCCCCCACCCTTAGAATGCCCCCTCCCTTAGAGCGGCCCCATCTGCTCTCCTCACTCAGTTACAGATCCAGAAAAGAGAGCTTAGAGTTCAGGATTCTGCTGAACACAGTTAAATGTTTTCCATAAAGATGAAGAAGGACGAATCCATGACTGACTTTGTTTCTGCATGACGCCCCTTTCCTTTGACTGCAGACTGAGCCAAATCAGCAATCCCTCCATCAATGTTTTGGACAGGAAGTTTTAGACACAACAAGCAACCTCCACTCAATCATCCAGCCTTAGAACAGCTCAGACAGATGCGGACAAATATGAGGTTAAAATTAGCAAATTAAAAAGAAAGCAATATGCCAATTTAGGAGAAAAAAGTTGCAAAAGTATAATATAAACGTGTACATTTGCAGAACAATGCAAGATAATAATACACGTTAAAGGATTTTCATTTACTGTCTGAAAAGCTGCACTAAACAAAATTTCGTTTTGTATACTCTCTCTGTATAGAAATGACAATAAAGGTTGTCTAAGTCTACATAAAGCACACGCAAAAAATCATTAATGGAGGCTTTAGCAATGGAATGAGTCGGTACAATGGCTCCCCATGGGGTTTTTTAAAATAAAACAAATGATACAATAAATTTACAGCGTGTTTTCTGGTAAATTTGCTAAATTTTTCTTCTAACTCTGCATGCTTACAATCTCTTACGTGTGCGTTTCTGGTAAATTTGTGTTTTATTCTTCTAAATGTTCTACTTTCTTCTCTCTAAGTTAGCACCTTTATAATCTTGTAAATTAGCATTTTTATTCTCATAAATGTCACTTTACACTCAAAAATGTAAACTCCATTTTTTCTCATCTCTGAATGGTCCTAACACGCCATCATACAGGAGAGCAGAATGCACCATCCTCTGCATTGAGCATGGATGACTTTTCACTACGGGCAAAGATTTTCACGCCTCAGTGTGGAAATACGTCTAACAGCTTTACTCGTCATTAAAGATGAAATATTTATCTGCCACATCTAAAATATATATTCATGTATTTGTAATTTTATAATTTACTTTTTATTTTCTTTTAAATGACCTTGAGGTCATCGGGTGGGTGGGGCGACGCCCTAGCGCCCTCTATTGGCCAGCCGCCTCTGGACCCTGAAAATGAGCAAAATATCAGTGAGTTTATGATTGTTTTCTCTTCCAGCACTGAGGAGTTTCTGGGGATCAAAGCTTCCCATCTCCACTGAAACCCTGCCTTTGTTACGTTAAGCTTTCTCCTTCCTCAAATCTACCGTATTTATGTCTATGTTCTTCTCCCCAAAAACAGCAGCATTGAGGGGAAAGGAGAGGAAAGAGAGGATGGGAGGAGCGGCTGGAGAGGAAGGAGGAAAAAAGGAGGAGGAAGAGAAAGTTTCTAAGGAGTAGTTTAGGAGGAAATGTGTGAGAGGAGCAGGGGAATCTGTGGTGGCCAGCTGCATGAGGGGAGATAGTGGAGAAAGGCTTTTAATTCTCAATCCCCACAGAGCCTTTGAAAATTACCAATCTTCTTATCACAGACGCAGGGCTGCTTATGCAAATTGTTGTGGAGTGGAACGTTTAAACGGAAAATTACTCGACAGCGTTTTTTTTTTTCTTCCCATCTTGGCTCTCCCCCTCTCTCCCCCTCTCTCCCCCTCTCTTCCACACAGAAAGCCTGTTTTGAGTCTCAGATAAGAAGATGAATTGCTCTCTCCGTGCTTTGAAGCGTGTCAGGATTTAAAGACTCCAGCCTCGTCTCTGGTCTAACGCGCTGCTCTCGCTGCCTTTGTAGCAGAAAACAGGCTGGAGAAAAACTGGGAGGAAAAAGCGTTTCCAAACAACATAGATTCTCCTCTGCAACACATCGTCAGCGCCTGAGGAGACAAGCAGCGAGGAGAAAATACCCCGTAACCCCAGTGCTTTGCTATTTGCCAGCACAACACTCCCCTCTCCTTAACAGCACATCCTAATTGACATGGATTTCTGTGTTTATGAATGATCGGGCCTTTTTTGCACATCGCTGCTGATTTAAATGCAAACAAGCAATTCAACCTTTTCTCATTTTTGCAGCAACAACCTTCAATTTTTATATGATAAGGTTTCTAATGTTAAAGTAGAGGGAAATTACTAAAAGGAGTGAAATATAGTTTAATTCTTCCCTCTACTCCTTTATCTTTAAATAAAATGCAGTGATAATAATTACCTACTGGTATAGAGTCCATATTAGTGAAGGCTTTGGAAAATGAGAGAAAAGGAAGCATCAGTAGGACCGAGGAGCCCAGCAGCAGGTCAGGGAGCAGGTGTGGTTCAGTTTAAAGCAGCGTTAGGGTCTGAATCATCTCCCAACGTTCTGATCAATCCGTTATCTGAACCCAGAGGGAAGTCGGACCGCCTGCAGGCCCGCCGTACCACCACGCCATGGAGGCCCACCTCAGAGGTCAAGGACAGGCAGACGCTGCTTGTTTTCTGGGCTGTTTGCAGCTGAGTGCACACGTCTATGTGGAGATACAAATAAAAAGAAACATCTAAGAAAAGATAAATCAACATCGGCTCATTTTTATCAACCAAAACCTCAATAAAATGTTTATAATTCCTATTTTTGCATAAATATGAAAACAGCATTTGGTGTTCTGCATGAAAAGGAAAGTTTGAAAGGAAAAGTTTGGTGAGCAGGAATAATAAATGGATCATTTTTATACCTAAAGCTAATGTGTTTGCTGTGATTTAATGGATTTAGAGTCAATCAGTAAAAAAAATTTAAAAAATCTTTGTCATGGCGATCACTGAGTCTGGGAGCGGCCATTTTTGCCCAAATATAGTAGCCCCTCCCTCCTGCCATCTTCCAGCAGTGACGTCACGGTGCGGTAAGCCTAGCGCCATTCTCCCCGCTTTCCAAGCTAAATCAATGGGAACTACTAGACACATCTGCAATCAACAACAATTATTGAAGATTTCCAGAGGACTTCACCATTGAAATTCACCAGAGCTATAGTGAAACTGACAATGCCCACGTGCATGGCAGCTGGATGCTGGAATACATCGGGTAAAAGTGAAAAAAAGAGTTATTCCACCTTTCTGATTCCTGATCCTCCACGGACGGGTTGGTCGTTGGATCGCCAACTTGAAGAGGGAGGATTTGCCATCGAACTTCTGGCCAGAGAAAAAACCCGTAATATGTAGCCAACATTTGGAAGAAGAATGTTTTCAAGATGACTTGGATAATAGCGCGTTGTGACAAACACCAGATACAGCACTGGGACTTGATCAACAGCCGATACCGCACCGTGACAATGTCACTAACCAGTAGGTGGCAGTAGTGTTCTTTGACAAACATGGATGCCTCCAGTAAAGCACATTTACAGCTGTGCTGGTGGGCGGGGCTAAAAGCTGTAGAGAAGCTGGCCAGAGCTTTATGCAGCTGACATCATGTTTATGTTAAACAACCTATCGGTTAAAAATATGTATTAAAACAATTAGAAACCCAATACAGTCATAAGCTGTCATCCAAATTCCAGGTGAGGCGCTGTTCACCTGGAACGCTCTGAGCGAGGTTTTCTGGGTAGTTGGTTTGTAACGTGTTTTTAGCATCCATTATTGGACTATAGAGGGATAAAAATCAGAGCGACCAAACTCAACAACTATCTCTGGACTAAATCAGCATAAATATAAACATATATCAATGCATCTTATCTTTTCTGTCCTGCTCTGGCCTGGAGAATGAGGCACTGGTCTGCAATGGAAAGCAACAGAGGAGACGGCAGCAGACAGGCAACACTCTGTGCAGACAGATGGGTTTTCAAGATAACGGCTAAACGGGTCAGGGTCCCAGAAAGGAGCCAGATGGCTGTGACTGGATCTTGATGACAGGTGTTTGAGGCCAGTTTGGACTGAATGTTACGAGATCTATGGGTCTAAGCATGAATTCAGGTGGAAGGAGAATCATAAGAGATTTCTGAAAGGGGACGAGATGGGCTATGTGAGGAGGAGAAGGATGATGGAGTGAACTCTGAGGACCATAGAAAGACAATGCTAGCAGGAACATAACAGTCAGGTCAGTGGAAGGAGGCGAATGCTTTGACCTTCAAGGACAAGTGGATCACAAAGAGACTGGATGCTGACTGCTTTACACCAGAAATTAGAAATACTTTCCTCTAACCAGTAGGACAGATCCATGGATGAGAAGTGTTAACAACTCCGAGAACAGGAATCTGGAAAAAGCCATCTAAGAGCAGGACAGCAGACCTGCAGGATGGCAGTTAAAGCCCCTGCTATGATGAAATCCATCAGCCTCTAATGATGCTTCTTTGTTTTACAGAGGCGACTGAGGAAGAGAAAGTGTTACCTGCTGTTGGCCGGAGCCATCGTCCTCGCCATCCTCATCCTCATTATTGCTGTTTCAGCTAGAAAATGAGACTGCCCTCTGTGGTAAGAGCTACAACACTCCTGCATTCAGACCTTTGACCCAATCCACTGGTCTCTAACTCTGCGTCTCCGTTTCTGTACACCTGACTCCGATATGAGCTTCAGCAGAGCTCTGCAGAGGGTCTTCTGCTGGGGACGCAGTATCCTGGTGTTCAGGACAGTCTTTAAACTGAGAGTCTTTAATCTGAGTCAGTATCCTGGTGTTCAGGACATCTAAATTCAGCCTTCATGGATTTCAGTTTGACACTATTGACTCGATCCTCAAACGTAATCCTGCAGCTGTTTACCTGCAGCCGAAAGGTTCTATTCATGCTTCCTTATTAGGTTTCTTGTTGGATCACGTTGTTAGATGGATTTATGGGGAAACCACATGAAGGTTGTGGTATTTCTGGAAGGCCTGATATTCCTAACATGGTTCCCTGAATAACATAGACTTATTATCGATGTCCTGACCGCCTTAAGAGCTAACGTTTAATAACTGAAATGAATTTGGCTTTGATGAAATTCAGGAAACAGATGTTCTGCTGTAGACCGTCTTTAATCTGAGACAGTCTTTAATCTGAGACAGTCTTTAAACTGAGACAGTCTTTAAACTGAGACAGTCTTTAATCTGAGACAGACTTTAATCTGAGGCAGACTTTAATCTGAGACAGACTTTAATCTGA